CATTTTTATGTGTAGGATCATTGAAAAAGGAAAATAAGCGAAGGTTGCACACAAGGATGTAAAAAATACATAAAACGAGCACGAAAAGGCAGAAATCGGAGAAGCATAGAAACATGCGCCAAGTTGGGTGACGCCCGGATCCTCACGAGGTGAAGCAGGCGATAAGGTAGGTGATGTGAGGTTCTTAGCTCGCCTCAGGTGTCATGGCCTAAATCCCATCATAGGTCGTGATGGCACCCAACGTGTCGTTAGGTAAGCCAACAACTTAACAACATGCCGGTCGATAGTCCATAACACATTTTGTAACAAGTGTTGAAATAAATAAGCGAAATTTCTCAGTTTTTATAGAAAAGTACTAATATAATATTTAATGTTCAAACGTGATCAAGATATAAATTTAAATATCATCACAGAAATATAACCAAGAACGAGAATCTAAACCCCAAAATCTACAAGTGCATGAGTATCTACGAGGAAGTACAATATTACTACAACATTTGTCTGAAATATAAAATAGACAGGATATAGTAAATGAATAAGATGGGGACTCTGTGTGTTGTGGACCGTAACATGGAACGCAACTCACCATAAATTTTCCTCAGCAGTTGCACCTATGTGCCAAGATGACCACCAAATGTATCTATCCCAGTACCTGCACAATTAGTACAGAAGTGTAGTATGAGTACGTAAATCAACGTATACCCAATATGTATCTAGCCTAACTCGAAGAAGTAGTAATGGGGGATCGACATCGACACTTACTATAATAAAAGTAGATAAGTATGGGGTATAGCAGGTAAAAGCAACGAAACAGATAAATGTGCACAACACGATCCTCAACAGAAGAGTAAATACGAAGTCCTCAAATACCGGATACTACCTCGAATGAAATACATAATGGTCAACACCATATAAAATGTCACATCTCAAGTCAGAAAGACTCATAGGTACGCTGGCTCATTATCGAGTATTACGCGTGATACTACCGAGGCAAAACTTTGATGAGTCACTAGTCCCACCCATAAATATATATGTGAGTTATGAAATATAAGAAACGTTCGGACAAATACGTACAATGTGGGGAAAAAAATCCGTAAAAGGAAGTACCGAGGCCCCCGGGATCCCATCCAATCACACTAACAAGTACCCATACCTTATCCAAAGGCTCGAAACACCACGAATAACATCAAAACCACGAATCGGTGATAAAAATCCTTCTATTAACTTTCAACTTTTAAACTCCGCCAAACGCATTCAAATCACACTTAGAAATTTCGGATCACGACCAAACTTCACACACAAGTTCCAATCAACTAAACGAAACTATCCTAGGTCCCGAAACACCATCTAGAGTCTGATAATACCAAAGTCAACTCCAAGTCAAACTTAGCTAATTCCAAAACCTTCAGAATAAAAACTTCCGATAATAAGCGCTGAATCGCTCCCAAACCATCAAATACTCAACATGGGCATACGCCCAAGTCCGAGATCACCTTACAAATCTATAGGAACCTTCAAATTCCGATTTCGAGGTCGTTTACTCAAGAGTCAGACCTTGGTTAACTTTTCCAACTTAAAACTTCCGAATTGAGAATTATTCTTCCAAATCAACTCCAAACTTCTCGAAAATCAAAACCAACTACACGTGAAATTCATAGTACATAAAGTGAAGCTAATCAAGGTCTCAAACCGCCGAACGACATGCTCAAAACGACCGGTTGGATCGTTACACTAGGCCAGGCCTCGCGAGCTCTAGGGCATGAACACTTTCCCATTCCGTGCATTAAATATTTTCACTTGATTTTGGACTTGGAGAGTCTGAACCTAGAATATAAATACCCCCTAAACGTAATTAGTGAAGGTTTGGTCAATTTTTTTAATGCGAAAAGGGCTTAGAAACACGAATGGAGCACATAATTCATCGATTCTTCCATCCTTCATCTAGTATTCCTAGCTTTTATGTTTAAAAATAATACTTTGATTGTTGTTATGACCATGAGTGTCTAAGAACCTCATTATTATGGGGTTATGATTGTTATTGACTATTATTATTTGACGGTTGATTATTTTGCTTGAGTTATCATATTAATTTGTTTATTCAGTCTCGCACTTAATTATTTTACTGCGTAGATAATAGTAGAATACTATCTATGAATTTATAATTGAACTCGAAAGTAGGAACTATATTGCATATAAGATTGAATAGAGTAAGTTCTTGAATTCGGGCATCAGAGAATATATTCACAATTAGGATAGACATACTCTAGTTGCATTACTTGGTTATTTTTGCAGGAAATATACATGAATTCTTGTTAATTATGATTCAATAGACATATAATATGAGGTTGTCTTGAATAGGCGAGCGAAGCGTCGAAAGACCTTCGAAGCATAATAAAACCCGTTAACCAATAAATTAGATAAATCAGGTAAATAAATCAACTAGAAGAACACAATAAGGGAGACATTAATCCTATAACCCCGGAATATTCCCATCTCATTGAATTCTTCCTAAGTGTTTGCTTATTTGCTTTGCATCATTGAATTCTTGCTTGTTTCGTAATTTCGTAGTCATTTTTAGTAGTAAAAATCACAATCGCCTTCTTCATAACCGCTTGAGAAATTAACTCACAAGTAGTTTAGATTGGACGACTGTTAATCATAAATCCTCGTGGGACGATATTTTCTCATCACTTATTATTTGTCGACCTCGTGTACTTGTGTGTGCATTTGGCCCCAACCAAGGGTGGCTCAATACTATTGGGGCTTAAAGCCATACTTCCATAAGAGGCCTTTAACTTGTTTCCTAAAAAAGGGACTTTCATGTATATTATTTATTTGAAATCTAATTTTCTAACCTTTTGAGATGCAAAATTATGAATAATTATTTTATAATTAATTTCTTCTAATGATTCTTTTTTAATTGATAATATAGCCAATCCATTCAATTTTTCTTGCGCCATGGTTGATCTTAAGTAAGATTTTATCAATTTTAATTTTAAAAAACTTCTTTCAATTTTTAGTTTTTGATCGAGGGTGTCCAGAGGCAACTGCTATCATTATTCTATAAGCAATATAAGCATTTAAAAAAGAATCAAGTTCCTTTATCTAATTGAATATATCGCGTGGAGTGCTATCATCTCTTCTTTTTGGGATTGTATCAAAGATTCAACTTTTCTTTTCTTTTTCTTAAGTTTTGAATAAGCGGATTCATACTTTCTATTTGGCACATTTAAATTTTAATAAATATTAAAAAATAATATATGCGTATATATTAGAAATATCAAGAAAAATAATTTTTAGATGAAAACTAACACTAAAAAGGTGGGATAGAAGAACCTGATTCAGTAACTTGATGTGAAAATAAATATTTGTTGCTTTTAATATACTTCTTGTAGGCTTAGTTCGATAGACGAAAAATGCAGAACAATAGAATTTCTTGGAGGCACAAAGAAAAAATATAATAATAGGAGGAGTAACGTTTGATGAAAACGTAAAAAGATTAAAAAAGAAAATTGAATATTGTGAAAACCGAAAAAGGAAGTGGTGTTCACATAATATTTAATGAGAAAAAAATTAAAAAAAGAATAACAACTTGATTCCTTCCACAAATTTTAGATTTACACATTAAGGGCCCATTTTTAAGGAACATAAATATTCCTTTTCAGTTGGGGCCCTAAAGATTGGGCTTCAATGGCTTACCAAAAGCCGGCCCAACACACAGAGGCTACCATTATTAAGAGAAAAAGGTCAGATTTGTCCCTCTACTTTAGTAAATTGTCCACGTTTGTCCCTTTCTGCTATCCGTCTAAATATATCCCTACCGTTAAGAAAGTAGATAAATTAGTCCCTAACCCTAACAGAATTCCAACATGAAAGCGGGCCCTTCTCTTCGATTGCCAACTGGGCAAATTAAAAACCCAAATAAAAAAGACTCGTTCATCTTATCTCACCCGATTTTCCAAAACCCTTGTTTTTATGGAAAATCAAAAACAAAAAAAGATTCTATTTTTTTAACCCAAGAATACGAAGCACCCCAAAAAGACCTAGAGGCCACTTTTCCTCCTCAATATTAAACCTGCCCAATTTCTCATCTCATTGCGAAGAGCTCCATTAGAATCAGTTATCACCTCCGTCTTATATATTTTTCACAGCGTTGTTAAAAATTCGGTTGGCACAATACAACGTCATTTTAAAAAATAAACTTTTTTTATAGTCTGAATGGACCAATCTTCTTACTGACGTATTCCCCGACAAATATTTAGTCATAATTTTCCAGTACTTAACCTCAGGCCACCGTAGAAAATTCTCCCTCGTCTGTCGGAGATGGCTCTGAGTTGAGGGGAAAAACCATAAAAGACTCTTCCTCACCGCAAAAGCTAAAATACTCTCGATTTTACCTGCCATCTTCTCTTGTTTCGATTCAGTCACCAAACTCGCTCTCTATTGTCACAGAAATTCGATTAGAATAAATAACGAAGGCTTTCCTTATCTCTCTTAAGTGCGTGAACCTCACTTTGGGGATTTTGCTTTTGGTGAAGGCTCCTGGATGCATGTATACTGAGTTATTTATTTGGCTAGGCATTGTAAGTTGTTGATGAAGCTTTACATTGATGGATTAGGATTGTAATGGTAAAGGGAGGTGGTTTTGGGTGGGGTGGAAGAAGAAACAGGTTTTAAGAGGGAAAATGGGCCTGGGTAATGAGCTATTTGAATGGGTATGAGTTTTTTAATTTGTCTAGTTGGCAATCAAAGAGTAGGACCAGGTGCCACGTTGGAATTCTGTTAGGGTTAGGGATAAATTTATCTAATTTTTTAACGGTAGGGACATATTTAAACAGATATTAAAACCAGAGACAAACGTGGATAATTTACTAAAGTAGAGGGACAATTCTGGCCTTTTCCCCCATTATTGACGTCAACAAAAGAAATCTCGCTTTCAAGGGTATTAAAGTCATTGCCTATATTTTCTAATCCTAAAATCATCAAAAATTCCTTGAATTATCTGCAAGTGAACACGTTACACGCAGCAACAGTCAACATCATTTCTGTGCCGCTGTTTGTTGTCTCTTCGGCTGGCTCTTTAGCCGCCATGGCAGCAACGCCGCTTGAGTCTCTTTGAATCTCAAATATCTTTCCTTTCACTCCTTCATCTATGTTACGACTTTAAAACAGCACTTTTTTCCTTAAGCAACATCTTATTCATTTTCCACTACTCCCGTTTGGTTGACGAGAAATTGTAAATGGAATAGAAGCAACTGAATTGTAGTTCAACCGTTCATCATCCCGTTCTTTGAGCAGTTACTTTCCTATTTCTGGTGTTTTTTCAAGCTGATATATGGCTACTATTAATGAGATTGCATGTTTTACCTACCTCGGGATAACTAACGCTGTTTCTCCTAGACGACGTCGTTTGGTTGTTCCTCAGACTTGGTTGAAATTGAGGAGTCAATCATGTTCAAAGGTTCTGGGTGCAGATTGTAGTCAGAACCCTAGTTTTGTTACTCCGAGGAGGAATAAAATCTGGGAATTTAGATTGTATAATTCTGTTGAATTGGATAGGTTTGTGACGAGCGACGATGAGAATGAGATGAGTGAAGGTTTTTTCGAGGCAATTGAGGAATTAGAACGAATGACAAGAGAACCGTCAGATGTTCTTGAGGAAATGAATGAGAGGTTATCTGATAGAGAGTTGCAGTTGGTGTTGGTATACTTTGCGCAAGAAGGGAGGGACTCATGGTGTGCTTTGGAGGTGTTTGAGTGGCTAAGGAAAGAGAATAGAGTTGATAAGGAGACAATGGAGCTGATGGTTTCGATAATGTGTGGATGGGTGCAGAAGTTGATTGGGGCGAAGAGTGAAGCCGGGGATGTAGTGGACTTGCTGGAGGATATGGACTGTGTAGGGTTGAGCCCCAAATTTAGTATGGTTGAGAAGGTTATTTCTTTGTATTGGGATGCAGGTGAGAGGGAGGGAGTTGTGTCCTTTGTGAAGGAAGTGTTGAGGAGGCAGATTGCTTACTCAGATGGCAACGGAGATGGGCATAAGGCTGGTCCCACTGGTTATCTTGCCTGGAAAATGATGGTAATTCTTATATACTCATTGAATTTAATGCTAAGTACTTGTTAGCAGTAAATATTTGGTGTATTTCTCCCATTAAAAAGGTGATGTCATAGAGTCCTGGCTTTGACTCTTGATTAAAAGAAAAAAGAGTCCTGCCTTTGACTATCTTGTATTCTTTTCTAGTCCTTCAGTTTGGTCATGTTAATGTCATGCTATCTTATGCTTAGTAAACAAGTTACTATCAAATCCAGCTTAGGATTTCTCTTCCTAGCTGTAGATGGTATTGGAATGAAACAAATAACCCCCATGATATTAGTAGGACAGTTTCTTATGTATTCTATCGTTGTGCATCCTTACTGTGAGAAACATGTGTGCCTTGTTGTGCCACTTGAAATAAGATTACTTGTGGAATGTTTGTTGGCAAATCTTTTTGAGTCACTCTGGATAGGTTGTGGCAGCCAAATTCATGAATTATGATTTCCAAAATAAAGTTTGCCGATTAATGTTGACGAGGGGACTCTACTTCTTTGCTACGGGATCAAGGGTCACTTCGCTGGAAGTCCAGTAACAGCCTATGGCCACTGGTAGTTGAACCCAATAGGAGATTTACTGTGAAGCTTGCCTTACACAAATTTCACATCGAAATGGGAAGAGAAAGTTAGTACCATATAAAAGCGAGTGCATGGTTCTAATTGTTGAAGTGCTTTTTGGGTTAAAGCTTAAGAGAACAAAGTTGTGAGGCATAATTGTTGGGCCAGAGTGGACAATATTTTAGCAGTTAGGCTGGACCATGACAACTGGTATCATTGCCGGTACCTCCTCTAATATGGTGGTGGGGAAAACTCAGCACGACGTTGAGTCCCTTATGAGTGTGACATCTACGAAGTGCTGGCGGTTGAATTCTCTGTCAAGCTTGCCTTAGGCGAATTCCACGTCAAACTGGGAGGAAAAGTTGGGGACCATGTAATGGCAAGTACAAGAACCCAACCGTTAAGGCGCTTTTTGGGTTAAAGCTCGGAGAGGAAAAAACATGAGGCCCCAAAGGTTGGGCTAGAACAGACAAGACTTTGCAGTTGGGCCTAGGTTGTGATATGTAATAGGTCCTAATGCTGAAAGATCAAAATTGTTGCACTACGGCAAGTAAAGAGATAGAGAAGATACAACCTGTAAAGTACCGAAGCTGCAAGAATTTAAAACAAAAGAATATAACAAAACCTGTAAATGCTTGTAGTGATAAAAAATGACTACAAATGTTTGGAGTTAGCGAGATCTTGATAAAGAAATTGAAAATAAATGAAATAATTGACAGGTTATTGGTGTATATGTGTTATTAATGGATGATAGATGAAGGATGTTGTATGATCTCCATCATATATACAAAAGGTTGCGGCGTTTATGGGTCCGTACCACCTTCATGTTGTGATCTAGATTGTACATTTCAGTGCTGTAATAGTTCTATGCTCGCTTGGTTTTCTCCTCTTTATACCTTAGCTTTCTTATTCTCATATTCGGTTGACATATTCGCTTGCTCTGATCTTATACGGAAAGGCAGTTACTTGTCCGATCAATGTGAGATAAACAAACCTTTACCGGTGGGTCAGATACGATAATACGTTTTACCCACTTCTGAGATGGATGTTGGGCTTAGTCCATATAGCCAACTTGCTATAAATGATGTTGATCCCCAAGTCTTCTTTTGGGCAATATTATCCATCAAAGTATATGCCGATCTGGGTCAGTTTCAAGGGAGCATGAAACAAGTAGGACCAATGATATCCAAAGATATGGGGTACGTTCGTCGACTTCAATGCCAGGTACTATTGTACTAGTAGTGCGGGAAAGGCTTCGAATGACAATTGTGCAAACTCATCTAAAAAAAGCTCAAGAAAACTCGATTGGTGTGTTTTAAGAACCAAATATGGATGTGTTACCTAAGCCTAATGTTCACTCACAGAATTTAGTAGTAAAAGAATATCACAACCTAGGGAATTATCCATAATGTCCTCCGGCACAACAAGAATGTGTCACGCCCCGAACCTGGGCCTGGACGTAACACGACACTTGATGCCTGACTACATGTGACTGAGCGAACCAATTGACTGGCTGAATCAACATGTGGTATCAAAACATACTGAATGCGGAAGATAAACTAACACATGCTGATATACTGAAAGTCTAGATGATATAAATCAAAGTGCGAAAATACTAATACAATTCTGAAAATTGTAGCCAACATAGCTTAATATGAAAAGCCCGTGACTTTGTCTAACTGTTACTCTAGTCTATGAAGCCTCTATTTGAGTACTGAAAACACTGATTGTATGTGAATACTAAAGACTGTAGTAATGATAATGCCCCGAAAGAACTGGGGATCACCAAATAGCTGGTACGAGAATCNCCAAAGATGCATAAAGCATAAATTGCGGCCTCAGGCCCAAAGATGCATAAAGCATTAACTGCAGTCTCAGGCCCAAATATAGGTGTTCAACATTCAGGGATTTAAAATCAGGAACTGCGAATCATACTGCAATACATAATAGTGAAATACTGAATCACGCTGAGTTATATGATACTGGAATACTGGATCACACTGAGTTACATAATACTGGAATACTGAATCATACTGAGTTACATAATATGGAATACTGAATAGGACTAGAATGAGACATGTATTCTTGAACTGGTTATGAACACTGAAACTTTAACTGTTTATGACATACTGAGTAAGCTATACTGAGACTTAGGGACATCAAAGCCCAAGTCTGTATTGAATACGAACTGAGTTCACAACGTTTAGAATGAAAGTCATGAACGAGTTACGAAGCTAGAGAATAGAAGTTCTACAACTATTCAAGGAA